GCATCTCATCCGAGCGGCGAAGTGCTTGAAGTGCCAGACATGCAGCAGATGCACGAAGCCCGGAACCCGACGGCCAGCTCGGCCGGCTACGCTGATGGACTTCGGAGAAGCGCTCGCCATGGACGTGATTCACTTCGATGACTCCGCCGGGAACAAGGTGAAGGCGCTGAGCATGGTGGACATGGGATCGACCTATCGTGTGGTGTGCCCTCTGCCGAGCACGACTTCCACAGACATCGCGCAGGCATACCACATGTATTGGGCCTCTTGGGCGGGCCACCCCCGGTTCATCCTCATCGATTTGGACAGCGGGTTCAAGGACCAGTTCCTCAGCATGGTGGGCGACACTGGCGTGCGCATCCGGAGCATAGCTGCCCAGGCACATTGGCAAGGGGGACTGGTGGAACGACACAACGCAAGCTGGAACCATCTGGGAGAAGACCTGCAAGCACGAAGTGATACTGCCGAGTGAAGTCCCCCTTGACATCACTGCGGTGAACGATGCCAAGAACTGCTTGAGGAACCGGGACGGTTATGCTCCCCGGCAATGGGTCTTTGGTTCAATGCCTCGGGAGGTGGGAGACATCATGGAAGAGCCGGACTCCTTCGAGACCCTCAAGGTGACCAAGGACGGCAAGATGTCGCGAATCAACGCTATCCGGATGGGAGCCAAGGCCTCCTTCTTCAAGATACAGTCGAAGGACAGCGCCCGGCGAGCGTTACTACGACGACCACGGGTCCAGAAGCACGAGTTCGCGCTGGGGGACCTGGCGTACTACTACCGGGAGTACCGGGCCCCAAAGAGCACCAAGGCGGTGGGACGCTGGTTAGGACCCTGCTCGGTGATCGGCTTTGAGGGGAACAACGTCTGGCTCAGTCAGGGCGGCCGGTGTTTGCTCTGCGCCCGTGAGCACCTTCGGCCAGCTGATCACGAAGAGGTCGCCGCTCTATTCCGCCTGAAGACATCCCTGGCCGAGGTGGATGCGGTGATGCGGAACCAAGACCTGCAGGAATTCATCGAGGCGGAAGGAATCGACGTGGAGACCGGCGAGCAGATCCAGCTCGAAGCGGAGGAGGTGGATCCCCCACAGGAGGACACGGTGATGGACGAGAGGGTCCGGAAGGCTGGTAAGATTGCGGACCAGCTACGGGGTTTCACGAGGCGGAGGAAGAGTCTGGATGATGTGCCTCAACCAATGCAGAAGATCCGGCGATCCTCCTCAGCGAAAGGTTCTGGACGGGCTTCCTCTGCACGTAAGTCTGCCGTGCGAGAAGTGATGATGGTTAAACGAGGCAGCAGCGAGAAGTCCAAGGACAAGGCTTTGGAGAAGGAACTCCCTGGGAGCGCATTCCCGAGGAAGAGAAGCACCTCTACGTGGAGGCAGAGGTGAAGCAGTGGCAGGAGCATTTGAAGTTCGAGGCCGTGCGACCGCTTTCAGTCGCGGAGTCCAACTGGGTCCGGGAGAATGTGGCGAACGACCGGATCCTGAACTGCCGCTTCGCCTACCGGGACAAGAGCTATAGCAAGAGGAAGGCTGCGCCGGATGCGGGGATCCCTTGCAAGCCGAAAGCGCGCCTGTGTGTCGGTGGACACATGGACCCGGACATCGGGAAAGTGGAGATGCAATGTGATGCCCCGACTGCCACAAGGACCAGCCTCATGCTGACGCTGCAGAAGTCGCTCAACGAGGACTGGGAGGTCTGCACCGCGGATGTGCAAGCCGCTTTCTTGAACGGCATCCCGGCGGGACGCAACCTCTACTTCCGCCAGCCGAAGCGGGGGATTCCAGGTTTGGAACCTCACCAGCTCGTATCCATCGAGAAGGGAGTGTTCGGGCTCTCTACGAGCCCAAGGCTTTGGTGGGAAAAACTCTCCAAGGACGTCACGAACCTGAAGTTGGAGGTGGAGGGGGAGACGCTGGTGGTGAAGCACAACCTCATCGACCCCTGTGTCTTCGAGTTCCGGACCCTGGACGGCGAGGTCCGGGCTCTGATGCTTTCTCATGTGGACGACTTGCTCCTGGCCGGCCGGTGAGGCGGTCCGCCAGAAGCTGGACGCGATGTTCCCCATCGACGAGTGGAACTTTGGGGACTTCGACTATGTCGGGAGCCACTATGACCTGGACATAGAGAAGGGCACGATCACCATCACCCAGAAGGACTACATTGATGGGCGTCTTCAGAGGCTGGATTTCGACAAGGAGGCGGACGAAGAGAAGGAGGTGGACGGCGAGCTGAAGGCGGACAACCGCACGGTGGTGGGGAGTCTCAGCTGGCTCGCGCTGCAATCTAGACCCGACCTCCAGATGGGCGTGGCGGTCAGAATGCGCCCCGGATCAAGCACCTCAAGGAAACCAATGCTCTGGTGACCCAAGTCGGGAAGTTCCAGGGCGAGGGTATTACCCTCCAGAAGATTCAGCCGGGCCGGGAGATCCTGATCGCCTACCACGATGCGGCCTGGGGTAACGTCGAACTGGAAGGTGAACGTGATGAAGAATGGGAAGGAAAGTTCCTGACCGGCTCACAGCTTGGGGTGATGATCTTCATGGCTGACAAGGACGTCCTGAACAAGGAAGGAGGCCCGGCCAGTTCCTTGACCTGGATGAGCAAGGTGTGCAAGAGGACCTGCCGGTCCACGTTTGCGGGTGAAACTATGGCGTGTTGCGAGGCTTCGGAGCATGCGCTGTTCCTGCGGGACCTGTGGAGCAGTTTCCAGAAGTCCGAGTCGGGCACGATGGACTTTCACCTCATGACCGACTGCCGATCCCTGTACGACCACATCCACAGGGCGGGAGCACCGAAGGCCCCGTCGGAGAAGCGATTGGCCATCGACCTGGCGGGTCTCCGGCAGATTCTTCGTCAGGAGGGACAGCGGCAATGGGAACTGAGGAACCCTGGTCTGGAGCCGACGCCCACTCGCCCCATGAAGGTGCCGCTCCACTGGGTGCCGACGGAATGGCAGATGAGCGATGTGCTCACAAAGAGAATATGCCCGCGGAAATGGTGGGGACTCATGGCGAGCGGCAGCATCCAGATCCCCTGGAAGTTCAACAAGCAGAAGTGAAGCTCTGCCAACAAAAAAAATTGGCTCCATTTTGGAGCTGTGTGAATATGTTAGCGTTTGCACGTGGGAAACCTTCCCCGACCGGCCGTTAGGCCCAAGAGTCAATCGAACAGGTAGGAAAAGGTGCTCATGCGCAGCCTCGCATGATCTTGCCTGCTCTACGGCATCAACACCAGGGACACCCCCATATTAACGATATTAATCAACAATTAATCCGGCGTCAACATTAGACCAGGGCCCCTTGAAGAGAAACGGATCTCCGACCAAGCGTGGAAGTGCGCAGACCCCCCTTTACACACGGAATTTCGTCTTCCCGAGAGAAACGCGTGCTGTGCCACAGTCGCAGAAGGCCGAGGGTTTTGTACAAGCGGAAGCTTGTGGAAAGCGTTTCAAGCGTATGGTTGTTTGTGCTGACACCGCAGTTGTTCCGACAGGCAAATGACAATAGTGCCAACGATCAAGCAGCGTTTGTCGAATGAAGACACTGAGGTGCTAAAAAAGACCGGAGGGAACCCAAACGCAGAATCCCAAACGCGGATTTCCGCGGAAGCGCCGCGGAAGCTTTGCGAGACCGCGAACTCGATTTCTTTTGCAAGCAGCTGCAGCTCCGCTTTCCATCGGCTCAGGGCTTGCGCAGCTTGTGCCAAACACATCGCAGCTCACTGCTTGGCGTAGAGAATGCTCGTCAGCGCGCAAGACTTGCAGCGGCAACAGCGGCAACAACAACCCCTACGAAAAATGCTGACGCCCTAAAAGTGTAAAGGCTTGAAAACCAGGCTAAAACGGTGGTTGCGGAAGCACAATGTGAACTAGAAAGGAATGAACAGCACCACTCAGGGGTTTGCGCACTTTCAAGTTTGTTGGTGAGAGGGATACACCTAGAAATCACCTGGTACATGTAGAGTCGTGTAGAAACCCTCTTACCTAAAAAATCAGCTTATGTGTAGAAACGTGTAGAAACCCTTTAACCTAAAAAAAGAAACGTGGTACTAGCAACCCTTTAAACTAGCTGATGAATATTTTTGTTTACTGGCCAACATGTACTTTGAGGAACCCTGCGGAAGGATGCGTTTCGGCAAGTGAACGAATCATTTTAGCAGCTGATGTAGAGGATTCCCTTGTAAAGCAGGTGGTTTTGGGTCCGTTGGCTGGTTTCATTGGGATACGGTAAGGCTTACAAATGCTTTTGCGCCCCATTGGTAGAACCAACTGCCAATTGTGTCGGAAGCAACGTCGCAAGCAAGGGTCGGTAATTGTTGAACTGGATGTTGGAGCATCTCGGAAGGGCACAAGGCAACCCATGACCATGCTGCCATTCAAGAAGGGCGTGCAAAGTGGGCACAGCCAAAAGAGAAGTTCCAGCTTCGGCCCTCGTCGATCTTAGGGATTCGGCTGTCTGCTTCGCGCATGTTCGCCAGAACCATGGGTTCTAAATCCACAGGTCAATTGCATGTCCAAAAGACATTGGAAGCTTAGAGGAAAGCAAAGAAGCTGGTTGCCAAAGCTGTCAAACGCAATTTTCCGACCTCTTAGCAATAGAACGCCACTGATCCTCTGCCGTTCACGCAAGCTTCAAACAACCGTTTGACTGCTTTGGGAGGGGGCTGCAAACAAGCCACCGCTCCGTGTTGCTTTTTTTTTGTTGGGGGGGGGGGGAGGCTGGCCGCGAATCTTCAAGTCGGAGAGGGCCTGGGAAAGCAAACCAGCGGCTTTTCCATGAGTCAAAACGATATTGTCCAGGTGTTCTAGGGGTACCTTCCCCATTCTTTCCAGGCACCATCAAAAACTGAGGGGAAACAGCCGGTTGTTGAAAAGAACAATGGTTGAAAAGAATGTGGAATCTGGAGGTGTAAATTACTTTTAAACCACATGTCACGATTTCATTCGTCGAGTTTTTCGGTCCCTGATTTTTGCTTGGCTGAACCGGCGGCCCGAGGAAGGTCTTGCGCAGCGACCCCGAAGAGCTGCAGAACGCGGTGCAGGAAGCCGCGGTCGAAAAGCTGAAGGAAGTCAGCAGGGAGAAGGTGCAGGAGAGGGGGGCATGCTTTGCATTCGAATGGTGGGTGCTCTTGTATAAAACATGTAAAACATGTGGCTTCCAGACTTCTGGGTTGTCCACCAATGGTCATCCGTTGCTCACCAGCTGAAGCCCTTTGCTGGATTTTGTGGTGTGAAATTTTTGGTGGAGCCCGCTTAGGTGCAAGATCATGGTAGCCGCACCGTTAGCCTTAGAACTTGAGCTTGCTTGGTCCTCTTCCGGCGCCTTATTGGAGTGCTTCGCCGCTTTGGCAGCCTCCCAGAAAAGCAGACGTGGAAGCGCGTGGAAGCTGTCTTCCGCACGGTGACCCCAAGGCGAGTCCGTTCAACCGCAGTGTGAATGGCAACCAGCTACGGGTACTCCGCAACATGTTGAATCTGCGCTTCTTCTTTTTTCTCGCAAGTCCTGAAGCTTTTTCACTTTTGCACTGGCTCCCAGGCATTTCTGAATTGCAGCGCAGCCCTTCGCGATCTCTCGCTAGGTCGGTCGGGGGTTGGGGGTTGGGGCTGCACGGCTCAGGACGTGGCCCAGAAGGTGAAAGAGCACCTCAGCCCCCAGCTGGACCAGGAGCAGGTGAAGGCGCGAGAGCCCACTGGTCTGAGCTCTGAAACATCGGATATGGCAACAACTAAGGAAAAAGAAGAGCGCATTTGGGCGGAATTTCCATCGAAGTGGCTTCAAGACCTGCGAAGTTGCTAATGCTCACTTTCAAGCCTCGATGTTCCCATGCGGGCTTCTTGTAGACTGCCCAGACGATTGCAGTTGTGCAATTGCCATGTCCAGGCGGCGGTGGAGGTTGCGACGGACGCCTTGATGCTCGGACAGATGTTCCACCTGAAAGGTGGCCAGTGAAGCCAGCCAGGCCAAAACAACAACAATGAGACCCGCTGAGCGCGGGCAAGACAAGTTTCCAGTGGCAAGGGAAACTTCCGGAGTCTGTGTGGATGCCCTTCCTGTTCTGATCATTTGAGCACGGTCATCGTCATTGCTCGTTGTTTGCCATGCGGAGCGTGCCCTTGAGCCTCGCGAGCCATTTTCACGGTGGGCTTGTGCATGGTACCGGTGGCATAGACCATAGGCCGGGATGAAGCCAGAGATGCTGTTAAAATGGGGCTAGGCTCCATGCCTTCAAGCTCCATGCTCTTCCTCTCCCAAGGAAGCCCGACGAACTGGCCGATCTGCTGAACCAGGGGGCGCGCGCAGGGGGCTTGGCCCTCGGCCTCGCAGGGAAGCTCTTCGGAAAGTGAGCCGCCGACCCATCTTCCCCAAAGCCGGGCTCGCAGTGCGAACTCGTAGGGTGTGGCAGCTGCCGTGTAGCTTGCTGTTCGGCCGCCCGTCGGTATTCGGAGATCGTTCTATGTCTTAGCGCGTCAATCTTTTCCGAGACATGCGCAAGTCTTGTCAGATGCTCACAAGGAAGGGTTTGGCACGTTTTGTTGAAAACAACGCACTGGCTGGATTTGACCTAGATGTTTGCAACACAGAAGCTAAGCAATATTGTTTGAACAAGTTCAAATCAGCACACAATTCCGATCGAACGAAAGAAGCAGCTGCCACGTGCAGAAGGCGGCATATATACAGGACGGCTGCCAAATGCAGCATGGCTGAGCAGTGGTTAACACGGGATTTGACCTGCAACAAAAAGCAAAAGACATCCTTTGGAATATCATTGTCACTCCCGGCTGCATTCCGCATGTTGCACATGAATGATTGCATTGAAACCAGCGTCGCAATGTACAGGGACAGGGGCGCAGGGGCAGAGGAAGTTCCTCCGAATTTTCCCCCATGGGAGGCTCTCTCGAGCACAACTCCGCGAAAAAAGTGAGTACGGCACGCAGGGCGCTCCTCGAAGCATGCGAGGCAGAAGAGGCATTGTGGGGGCATCAGGAAGCCGCAATCTGGCTGCTTGACCGGATTCCATGGAAGTTGATGTCGCCCCCAATTCGTGTTTAACGAGCAGTACGCTGGTCTCTCATGGTTTGAAGCAACCAATTGCAAGAAGAGGCCAGCCGAGCCTTGGCGTCATCGAAGTGACTAGTGCCAACCTGTTTTTGTGGAGCGTATGCTCCTGCTGTTGGCCTTGATGAAGCTGTGCTGTTTTTGAACGTAGTGATGAGCTAACCCCGCACGGGATTCAATCCGCTTGAACCTGTGCCGCCTGCGCTAGTCCTGCGCTGCATCAATCCGCCGCCGAGGGGACGAGCGTGCCAGTCATCGGCGTTGACAGCCGGGGCCTGGTGAACCAGTGGAACGGTGCCTTGGGCAGAAGCAGCGATCGGACAGTTGTCGGGCTGCTTTTCGGCTATCGTTACGTTTGCCTCCAGCTCTGAAGCCGAAGGATCATGTTGCAATTTGCTCAGACTTTGTTTCACACCTAGTTCTGAGGGGTTTTAGTGTTTTGTAGTTTTCTTGGCCAAGTGTTGGGACCTCATCAGAGAGGTGAAGATGAAATCAGTTCAGGGAGAACAGGTCAATGCCAAGCGGCCATCAGCCAATGAAGCACCATTTTTCCGACATGCTGCATATCAGCTCAATGAGCAGGCGTGTGAACCAAACAGATGCCCAAGCAGCGATTCCTCGCAGCCAGACGCTGAAGTGGAGCAAGTACTCATACAGCCTTCCTTCAACAGGTGCTTGCTTGCACACCAGCCTTATACAAGTTGCAAGCTCACACCATTTTTTCAAGCCAGTCTTCTTGCAAGCCTTTCCCCCCTGACCATCCGCGCCATCCGCGCCATCCGCGCCATGCGCGCCATGCGCGCCATGCGCGCCTTCTGCGGCTTCCGCGCCGCGCGCCTGGCGCAACCGCGGTCGCATCTTCCGTTTCGCGTGGCCGCCTTCAGCACGGACTGGGAGGGCCTGAGCCTTTCGGAGCTGCGGCGGGTGGCGGCGGAGCGGCGCATCGACGTGGCCGACTGCTTTGAGAGGAGGGACCTGGTGCAGAGGCTGCAGGCAACAGGGCTACAATTACACACATGGATCTTGTTGTGGGCGAGGTTGTTTTGGGTCCGGGTATGCATTGTGCATTGGTATGTGCATGTATGTATATGGGTATAAATATGTATACTATATATCTATATACATATGCATTCATGATTTGCAAACCGGTATGTAACGGGGGTACTGCATTTCACACGCGTTGTGCATGCCATCATGTGTTTTTGCATGTATGAACCTAATGCCACGTACTGTACCATGTTGTGCACCCAGTTTCCCATGAGACTTATGTGGTTTGGATTTTGGCACGCAGGCCGCTCACAGAGTTTGCAGGACGTTTCCTGCCTGCGAGGCCTCAGCGGACTCAGCGGATGAGGCAACTTGCACTGTTGATGAACAGCCCGCTCTTTCCTCCATGTCCATCGCCGAGCTGCGGAAGATGATTCATGAGGCAAAGGTCTTGGAAAGCCCAAATTCGGAACTGTTGCTTGGGGATTTAGCTCCTCGTTCTGGCAAAGTTGCAAAGGGCACATGGAAAACCACTCCCTCGCCGCCAAACCACAACTCCAAACCACCAAGTGGAGAGGCGCTGATTTCCAGCAAGCAAGCTTCCAAGAGAGTTTTCCGGGCAGGCTTGAGGTGTTCTCGGCAGTCCGAAAAGCCGTGCTGAAGTCCTGGCGGCAACTTGCCCATTGCATGAGGCGGGCCTCAACTCCCGGGATCTGCTGGAGAAGAGGGACTTCCTGGAACGCGCTGCGGAGGCCCAACAGCTGCTGGCCAAGGCGGCCAGCGACGCAAAGGCCTCGACCGGCTCCAAGGCAAACAGCAGCTCAGCGACGGGGCGAGCGGGTTGGAGAGGTTGGAGTGGAGCCGCCCTGGGCTGGGGATGCTTTCTGCTGCGCCCTGTGCTGCAAACCCAGCCCGTGCCCCAATCGCTGGTGAGCTGAGGCAGCCAAAAAGCAGAGCCATGGGATGTGCAGCGCTATCGCGAGTTGGAGGCGGGAGGTGGGACATGGGGAAGGCGGCTAAAGCTGCGAAGATGTTCGCTCTGAGCTTCTGGGCCCCGTGCAAGCCATTGCCTAGGCTCATGCCCGTTCACAGTTTCCTGGCAGTGTTGCAAGCAGAGCACGCCAAAGCACGTCAAAGAACGGTCGAAGAGGTGATGTGTAAGGCCAAGTCTTCAATTTCGAGGTTCCGCGAGGAACGTTGGTGCATGTCAGCAAGGCCTCGGCGAAGCGAAGCAGTTTTCCAAATATCCAAACTTCGGGTTTCATGGTGAACATCGAATCCAGTGTTTGCTTTAGCAAGTACAAACCATGGACACTCGGAAGCAAAACCCGATGTGGATAAACACCATGACTATGCTGCCACCAAAGGCAGCCACGCCCGGCAAAGCGTGTGCCATCCTGGTTATCAACAGAAATCACAACTCTTACAACATGAGCCAACCCCGTGTTAGTGTGTTTCTCCATGTTCTCCCCTCTCCCTACCCCTTCCCTGCACGCAGCATACCGCGTTTGGGTCAGCATTCACCTCTCGCTCGCTGGTCGAAGCCGTCGGTAGGTGGTGCTCTTCGCGCGGGGGGGCTGCCCCCACTGCGTGTCGGCGGTCCAGCTGCTGCGGCAGCGGGGGCTGCAAGACTTTGAGCTGCAGGATGTGGAGCGCCTGGTCGAGAGGGGGCGAGAGCTCTGGAGACGCGGGTGAGGAGAAGGGGGTGGGGAATTTGCCGAATGTGCTGGTTGAGTGTGTGTATGTGTGTGGTTTTGTGGTTTTGAGGGAGGGGGAATTGGGAGAGTTGGTAGGTTGGTGGGTAAGGACTTCCCTTCCCGAGGAATGTGTTGGATGTTATGCCGTTGTCCTGTCAATTGGCAAAGGTGGATCACTGAAGAGGGTTGCCCTCATGACCAGAACGCTGCAGGGGCTTTGTCGCCTCGTTCTAAATCCGATGTTGTTTGTTTGTGCCGGTGAGCTGGTGGCCGTTTGAGACAGGACCCAAAGATAAATCACTCTTTCGATTCTTGTAGGTTCCATTCGGGGACGGTCATCCAAAATTGGGCCTGCCCGTCTTCAACCATGCAAACATCGGCAAATCGTCCCTCCCGCCCGCCCGCCCGACCTCAGACTGGGCCCAGGTGGTCTGCCCAGGCGGTGGAGGAATTCCGACAGCTCGGGGGCCGCGGGGTGCCATTCTTCTACTCCCGAAAAACCCAGAAGTCGTTGGCCGGGTGGAAGCCCGACGCCACGGACCTCAACTTTCTGATCGCCCACCTGCAGTGACGACTTTCCGAACGGTGCGTGGCGGGAGAGAACAAAAGTCGCCCGGATGGAGTGCATCCCCAACGGAGCCCGGAACCGGAACCGGAAAAAGAGCCGCTCCGAGCTCCGGAGCCTGTTTGGGGAGACCTCAAGCTTCCAGTTGGGGAAGAACATGGCAGAATTGCAGTCGCAGCTAGGTCTGGCGAGGGGAAAGAGGGATGGGACGCTGGTGCTGATTCGCAGTTAGACCGGCATGAAATCTGGCGCCATTGCCACTTGGTAAAGGGAGCTTACAGAATCCAGGCTCCATGCCATGACGCAGCATCATCCACTATGTCCACCATCAAGCTACCAAGCACTGGAACGCGTGAAATGCAGGACACTTGGTCAACTCGCCAGTCGAGGTTTGGAATTGACACAGCGGACCTGCAGCCGTGAAGAATTTCCTTTGACCAACGTTCCTACTTGGTGGGGTGGTCTTCTTTATGCAAACAAACCCCGTGAGTTACAAAATGCCCACCCACCCCATATTCCATTCTCCCCTTTCCTAGTTTGCTTACCCCTTTTTCCTGGGAGAATGGCGCCTGTTTTTTTTTTTTTTTTTTTTTGTGGCGGGGGGGTACCATGCGCGGGGAAGCAACCCCCAGCTGGCCCGGCCCAGGTGCCGCCTCGGAGCTTTTGGGCTTCAGCCGGGTGGAGGCCAGCGGGCGAAGCAGGAAGGGAAGTGGCGGTTGCACGTGGGGGGCACGGCATTCACTTGGAAAAGGGTCCAGATGAGACACAAAATGTTGAATGGCTGTAGGAAACCAACGGGAAGTACTTGGAAGGACCCCTTGAAAAAGGGGCCCATGCGATTCCTGAAGTGTCCGGACTTTTGTTTCGCACTAACGGGATATGGCTGATTCAGGTTCGCGATTCGTTTTTCCACATCCATCGAGCGGATGACAGGGGACGGCTGTTGAGCTGATTGTATCTTGACCAGCACAGGTTGCTCCCCCCCCCCCATTGTTGATGGAAGTAGGGTGCTGCTCGTGTTCGTCGGACGGCGCGGCTCATGTTGGACTCGCGGAAGGGAGGGGCATTTACAAGGTCAAGGCATGGCTGACAAAGCTGGCAGATGAAGGAATGTATTGAATGTTTCGGTCTGGGGCATTTTTGTTCGCTGAACTTTGACGTTTTGCGCCTTAAACAAGTCACATCGGCAAGGGAACTCCCCCCCAGTGTAGTGGCAAACTCTGGGACAGGTGTTGACTCTGGCGTCACAGCCGAAACCTTTTGCGGAGTTGCCATGCAATATGCCGTAGCCTTGGCTGATTATTTGTGTTGATGTCATAGAAAGTCTGCAGCACCGGAGTTGCCGTTGCCTTGGCTCAAGGCCTGTGGGCCACCACGTTCTAAGTTGCAGGCTCGCCGAGTCCTCCAGGCGGCCTGGACTCAGATGGCCTTTAGGATCTGAGGAGTCGGTTTTTGGGCATTGCACGCTTGACTCGTGCAAGCCCGTGGCAAATCAGCCAGTGTCCTTTTTTCCTCTGGGCGAGGAAGCAGGCAGTCCCAGCGTTGCGACTGCAGTAGCCAAGGTGGGGATCGTTCAACTCAGATGCAGGACGCGGGTGCAGGTAGTGCTGTAAACCGCCAGGGGTGGCAGTATCTTGGGAGGGAATGAGGTAAGTTTTGGACTGGCTGCCCCCCACGGACTCAGCTTGCGCCACTGATTCATTACTGCAGGCCCCTTGAGGCCGAGCACAGGGTCGGCTGAATGCCTGAAACCTCTTGCCAACATGACGGCCTTGCAACTCCTGTTTGTCTTCCCAGTTATTTTCTTCTGGGGGGTGGGGGGTGGGTTCAGGCTGCAAGCGGTAACAGATGTGACACCAGGAGAAGTTTGACGCGGGATGCCTGCTGAGCCTCGGTGTACAAACCCGCTTGGCCACGGCGGCCCTGAACTATGAGATCTATTGCATTCTCGACGGCTGCGTGGCGATCCATTCAACCAACGCATTGGTTGATTCTTGTGTCTCTCCCCCCCCCTTCTCTCTCTCCTCTCTCCCCCTCTTCTTGTCTCTTGCTCTCTTTCTCTCTTCCTCTCTTTCTCTCTCTCTGTCTCTCTCCCTCTCTTTCTCTGGCCGCTTCTCTCTTCTTGCTTTTTTTCTTCTTCTTTTTCTTCGCTCGCTCGCTCGCTCGCTCGCTCTCTCTCTCTCTCTCACTCCTTTTGGAGCCACTCCTCGGCAGAACTGCATCAAGCATGTCTGAGTATGTTCAAGGCTGATCGGTGTCCAAGTTCGGACGAGCGCGTTGACAAGCGCCATTGGCAATGCGAATTTCTACCCTGACTTCCGCTGCATCAGTGGCTAGCTTCGCAAAGCATGAGACTCAAGCTGCTATGCTGGATTCGTTTGGAAGCTTGAGTTTGTGCTGTACCTTCTTAGGGCAATTTCACAGTATATACAAAGGCCATAGCAGCAACAAGTCAAGCAAAACACAGACATGAACACTGGATGAAGTGGAAACAGGAGACACAACACAGAAATGAATAAGCGAAAGGGAAAGATTGAGAGAGGGAGAGATGGAGAGATGGAGAGATGGAGAGACAGAGACAGAGAGGCAGACAGGCTGACAGACTGACAGACCGCCAGACCGCTCGGCTGAAACACCATCCGATCGACCGACCGACCGACCGACCGACTGTGAACACCACTTGTCTTTAGCATCTCCGCCGAAAATTCTCGCCCCGCTCGTCGTTGCAGCTCTTTAGCTTGTGCGGGCCTTTGGAAAGAGATCAAGATGGGAGCCTGCGCTGCCTGCGCAGCCGAACAGAGCAGGGACAGGCCCAGTTTCCATTAATTCATAAGACCATCCATTGATTTTGAGCGAGGCATGTATTTGCTGGCATCTTTTCTCGGGGGGTCGGAGTTTCTAAGCAACTAGCCACAGGAAGTTCTACAGGAAAGCCCTGGTTTTGGTGGGTTGGCAAATTTCCTCCAGAATTTCCAGCTGGTTTGTAGAGGGCGCATGGGAAACCAGTGCTCCTCCAAACCCAGCTGGAGGGAAGCTGAGGCTCGCCGTCGGAGGCGCCGAGCATCACGGAGCTCTCGGACTTCGCCACGGGGCAGTGGGGCGCTCTGCGCTTCGGGCTCCACCTCGCGTCGGTGGGTTTCAGCGCCACGACTCTGCGGTGGGGGGGTTGAGGCGTGGGGGGAGCGGCCCCTTTTGTTTCGGAAGGCGCGGGAAAAAGGGCAAAATTGGTGTAGGGGAAGTGATTTTTAACAGGTGGGAAATACATTCGGCACCCAGGTCCACTCATTGTGTTGGGTTTCTTTTGCCCCTGCCTTGTCGCGTGGTTCGCCCCATGGCCAGGGCAGGTCAGCGAGCCCAGGTGACTTGTGCTGCTACCTGGTGCTGTCGCACGCGACCGCCAAGGAGTCCTGGTCCCCGCTCTTCCGCGGCTTGCTGGTCGCCAGCTGCTCCCTGGACGTCGTCCAGGCGATGACCACGAACTTCGCCTATCACTACGTGGCGATCCAGCTGGCAGGCGGGGGCTTCAAGCCAGCAGGAAGGGATTTAAAGCAAGGTGGGCAGGCGGGATCGCGGGATCCAGGAAACGTTGTTCTTGGGAAACAAGAAGCTGATGCCAAATTTGCTGGTCTGATTGCTGTTTGTTTTGTAGGCTTACCAACCAGGGTAAGATGTGATGGAACGCCTCCACCCCCCCCCAGCCAACTTGACGATTCCAGCCCAAGGCTGCGGCATGTGCCTCACGCTTCTGCTCACCCTCCACTTTCTGTGGCAGAAGCCAGAGGTGAACATGGCCCGCTTGCGCTTGGCCACCAGCCTCTTCGTGGCACTCTTCTTGGATCTTGCAGCGACTCGGTTGCAAAGCGAATTGGCCTGGTCCCGGGGTTTCGTAGATCAGTTTGAGCTCAACCGCACGAGAAGAGCTGAGACGCGCTGAAGGGTTGTTTCATTCAGGCTCACCATTTCTGGCGGGCTCATGTGGTGGTAAAGCGAGCTCGCCACTCAAGCTCCTTTATTTGTACAGTTTTTCACCCCAACGCCTTTGATTCAGGCGGTGGCGGTGCTCCACAACCAGTGGGCCGCTTCGTCGTTGTCCTGGACGGCGCTGGAGTATCTGGGCCTGGCACTGTACACATCGGCCCCTTGGCTTTCATAGCCTTCGGCGCCACGTTGATCTGCCGAGTTTTGAGGTGTCAGGTCACCCCCATCGATGACCTAACTGCCGAAGCGGATTTCGTCCAAAGGCCCAGGATGTTCATTGCTTATCGGCTGAGCCGGACTTAGATTGCAGACTGAGGTGCTCGTGGCCATCGGGGGCCTCTTGCCAAAAGGCGCGCTGGTGAAATTTGGATGGCTCCCGCGCATCGTGGACAATAAGGCACTGTTACCTCAACACCTGAAGGCTCCAAAGCGAACGAGCTGATCGCGAGATTGGAAAAAGGTCGCAGGGATTTGAAGCGGGCCGGGTTGGAAGTTTCGTGGGTGTGGTTCGGAAGCTGGGGGGGATATTCGCCCAAGGGGTGGCAGGTCTTCCAAAAACAGACATCGGCAAAGGATTCAAAGGATCCAATTTTGGTCTGTTTCCGCGGTCGGCCAGAGGGGAAGCAGAAGGCCATGAGTGTCCTTGAAAGATCAAGCCATATCAACCCTGACTTTGTTCCGGCTCTGGCTTTCCAGGCCATTGGAAGACCCGTGTGCTTCTTGCGCGCTTGTTGACACCTTGCCCGGCTGAAATAGGCCTTCTTTTGCTGGCCAAAACGGTCAGCACGCCCCGCCACTTTGCGGAGGATAGTCCAACCCTGGCCACGGGCTTCGGGCTGAGTCCTCGCCGGCTTCGGGAGGTGTTTGGACGTCCTCTCGCAAATCTGGACGAAGATGCTAGGGCCCCAACGCATGTGGAGCTGGAATTTGTGGTGTGCAAGTCGCTGGTCAACTTGGCCAATTCCACCACCAATCTCTTGAGTCATCAGATGTGCCTTGTGCTACGCGCACTTGGGTTGATCATCACATCTCGTAAGACAGGCAAAGGACGAAGCTAGATGCTCGCTTCGAGACCATGTGTTGTGCCTTTCTGCTTCCATCTCGTGCGACCGAGGTGGCGGACGACCTCTCCAGGGCAGTGAAGGCGCAAATGAGGGTTGATGTCTCAGGTTCTTGCGCTGCGATTCGGTGAGTGTCTGAGTGTCTTCGGCTTGGCGCTTTGCCAGGAGGGCCCTGTACTGACCACCTGGCGCGCCAAAGGTGCAGGTCTTGGCTATAGCCGGGTTGTGCCAG